GCTGCACGGCGCGCGGTTGGAAGTCAATGTCTCCGTCCAGGGCCAGGATGAATGTGTTCTCCGCAATCACAGCCTTGCGACGCGGCGACAGCTGCTCCGTCTCCATGATGCGGTAGCCCAGCAGGTAGTACATGTACATGACCTGCGACCAGCGCTTCTTGTGCCGGATCTTGTCCTTGTTCTTGAGGTGGGCCACCATCTTGGTGCGTCCTGGCAGTGTCCACACCAGACGACCCCCGTAGGGGGTCTCTATCTTCAGTGGCGGCCTCAGCCGGATGTTCACGCCGTACACCTCAAAGGCGGCCTTGTCTATGGTCCGGGTGAGTGTCTTTACGTACTCGTTGACTGGCGGGTTTCGTTTGTTCTGGCACTGACGCGGGTCCAGCACAAAGGCATCGTCAAAGAAAATGTTTGCTGCGAGGAAACGAAAAGAGAAGAGAGAAGTTGGAGGCGGAATTAGACAGATCGTAAAGTTGTCGCAGACACTTGCAAATGCCGTTCTGGCTTTGGCTTAATGCCATTTTGGCAAGCTCGGAAATGAAGTCGCCAAATGCTATAAATAGGAGGAGAACCACGGAGTGCCGAGACCCCGACTACAACTTATTCCACGCAATTCCTTGCATAAATTTGCGCTTTGACACATTTAATATATGCAGGATGCAAATGCGCAGTGGTCGATGGAGCATCTGGAGGGATTCGCTTCTGGTTGCTGGTTGCTGGTTGCTGGTTGCTGCTGCACTTGACTGGCACATTTACATACTTTCCAGTTCGTAGTATTCATCGTCCGCCTTGCCGCCGTTTAGGTGTGTCTTTGCCATGCGGCGTGCACATTGATCCTCATCCAGGCGGACAATTGATTTGAGGAACTCCATCATCTCCTCCTCCGTCTCGTGCCACATTGTTGCGCAAACAATCAGTTGCGGTACCTTGTCCTCCTCCAGAATGTCCCTGCTGGCATTCAGCTCTGAAGCCAGAGCCATCACCGGCTCCCTGGGTGTGGTTAGGTCGCTCTGTTGGGACGAGAGAGAAAGAGGTTTAAGGGTTTAGCTTAAGCTCTGAACGATTGCAGTTTGATTTCAAGTGGTTTTGCCCATCAAAAGGGGTATTTGTGCAGGGCAATTGTTCGCAGCTTTGATGGGGCATCCACCCCTCTCGATGTTTGCCTCTTTAAAGGAGTGGATCCGACATCTCATATGCTTGTCCTTGATGACAGAGAGGACGCATTACGAATGCACATAATTCGCTGGCATTCTAATTTATGCCCTCGAAAACTCTCAACTCTTGTGCCCTGATTTTAATTACTTTAATGTCTTTATGCTGGCCCTTTTTCGCTGTGGAGTGGAGGCCCGAAAACATACAACCGAACTGAAGCACTTTTAATTAAGTTTACACCCACCGAAAATCCCCTACCACAGCCTACACACCCACACACGCACACGCATGAAGGGGTGGAGAGGGGAGAGGGGAGTGGGAGAAAGGGAAACCCGGGAAACCCGGGAAATGCAAACATTTCCTGAACTTTGCAGTTTCCCCGTCATTTAACTTAATTACATTGGCTGGCATTTGAAGAGCAAAGCGCACATCTCCCCTTGCTCCCGATGAGTAGTGCCATCAGTCCACGTGTGTCTAACAGAATAGTCAAAAAGTCCCCGAAACAGATGTGTAGTGCGATGATTGATGCCAATCAGGCAATTCATACATGCAACCCTTGGTTCCTTGGGCACAATCTGATTGGCAACGAGTGACAAGTGAACCCACCTTGATGGCCAGATATTCCTCGCTCCAGTCAACAATCCTTCGGTTCAGCATACCGCACTGATCCACCAGCAGGCCGCTGTACCAGGGACAAACGAAAAGCTTCTCTGTCTGGGCGTTCTTGTCCTGGCGCGGCTGCCAGATGTGCAGGCACGTCCACACCTGGGCCAGCCACCACAGCGGCCACATCCACAGAACGTAGTCCAGGCAGCTCTGGGCCAGCTCCTCCAGGCTCCCAGCCAGCGACTGCAGCGTGAGGTAGTCCGGGATGAGTCCGTGCAGCGAGCAAGGGTTTGCCGCACGAAGGTAGGCGAGGAGGGTGGCCAGAGCGACGGTCACCGGCATGGCCAGGGTGAGGGGCAGGGCGTAGCTGAACTCCTGGATCTTGATTTTGCAGGCAAACTTGCCAAAAACGTGGCACAGATACGCGGCAGCCACCTGCACCATCAAAGCGTACACCACCGCATTCGGATTGGATTGCATCGTGTACTGTGAGGCTCTCGACTCTGTCCTGATAAACGAGCTGCTGTTGCCGTTCTCCTGCGATGCGGAGGATTCTGTTAAATGTAGCACATCGAGGTCGTCGCTTCTGCCACTGCCACTGCCACTGCCGCTGTTGCTCTGCTGCAAGTGCAAGTGCATCGAAAGTTGACTCTCGCTTTACTCGAATGAGCATCAGGATTCAGTGGTCTGCACTCACCACCAGGGTAATGAGATGGGTCCGCCAGGCGTCCAAGAACAGGCTGAAGTACTCCACGAAGTTTTGGCCGTGCAGGAGGAAGGCCGTTGTGGCAAACACCACGACTTTGAGCGGTGCCAGATAGAGGTACGTGTGGTAGCGAGAGCGGGTGCAGCGGATGGTGCGAATTATGTAGGCTGATGGAGGATACAAGAATGAGAATCATTGGCAATCGGAAGGAAGGAGGGGAGAGCGAGCACTCACCAATAGCCTCGTGTGTGTTGGCAAAGTTCTCCCACCAGCGGAATGAGACGAGCAGCAGGGGAATGGCCAGTAGCTGCACCTCCAGCTGAGAGCTCATCGATGGCCAGAGCAGGAAGACACTGCCCAGCGCCATCACGGCCAGAATGGAGAAGGCCAAGACCAGACTGTCCACCGACTTCCAGTGGATACGGGTGCCCGTCAGCAGATCTAGAGTGTGGCAGCAATCAATTTAATTGTCATCGGTCCCAAGACCTCAAGATAAGATTTGCCGTGACTCACTGAGCAGGGCGGGCACAAAGCAGACACAGCAGCCCAGCATCGCTCCACGCGTCAGATCCAATGCTGGCAGCACGGTGAAGGTGAGCAGGGCCAGGCCGACGACGTGCAGCAGTTCAAAGAGGGTGACCTGAATGGAAGCACAGCAGGAGCTTATCAATCACCATCCGTGCGGGTTCCTTGCCCACCCCACCCCACAGCCAACACTCACCAGAGCCACTTCCAGTCCGCTGGGCCGGTGCTCGCGCTTGAACATGCAGATGCGGAGGGCGCGCAGGAAGGTGAGCACTTCGGGGGCGGCAAAGGCAAAGATCAGGGCCCACACCCAGGCGATTTGTTCCAGTTTGTTGGGCACGGCCACCACCTCGCCGTGCAGCAGAACTTTGGATAGAGAGAAAGTTTTGCCATCAGAACACAAAACACGGAATCGATGGGAGTGGTGGGTGGAGGAGGGGCCTTGACTCACGGTATTTGCTGCAAACATGCACCTTGGTAGCGGCGCTGCTTCCGCTGCCACTGGTATTGCCAGCCATGTAGAGATAAAGCAGCTTGGCCACCACACTTGAGGCCAGAACAACGGCGAAGACCAGGAGGAAAACGAGCAGCTTGAAGAGCTTCAAGAAGAACTGCAACGTCTTCCAGTCCGCATCGGAGCCGCTCGTCTTTTTGGCGGGTGGATCCTGGAAAGAGTCCCAGAGTGGCTGCTTATCGCGCTGCTTCCTGGAATCAATCGATTGTGCGATTGCAATGGGTGCTAGTGTACTCTCACGCGTATCTTATATATATATATATATATATTTATTAATATTTATATCAATTGGTGTCCTACCTGGCACGCATAATGTAGTCGCTTTCATAGTCACCGCTCATGTCTCTCTGCGACCATCGACAAATCGGAACTGAGCGAAAGACAACACCTCACTGGAGGAGCACTCACCCAAAGCGATCGATCGATCGGCCATCCGATCGGGCGATCGATCGTCAGATAAGGTTTCTTCGTCGTGCTCGTGGTCGTGATGATAGCATCGAGAACTGATGCGCGTAAGTAGTCAGCAATTAACTAGCAATTTCTAGCAAGATAAGAGCACCTCTGAGACCCGATACCCGATACCTGAGGCCGATACCTGAGGCCAATCTCCTCCCTATTTTTCAATTGCAATTTCCATTACTCATAAATTAAATCACATTTGCCATTCATAAAGTGAGACACAGGCACAGCATCTAAATATGTACCACGGTTAGTGTCAAATGCTTTTAATGGTTCCCTTCAATTTGCCGTCTGATTTTGGGGCGTGGGTCTTTTGTTTGTTTATTGCACCAATGGGCCAAGATGTTTATTGTCATTGTTTATTGTATGCCATTACCTTCACCCCGCCACGAGCACTGCATTGCTAACAAATGCTTTCGAGTACTATCATTTGCTCGTTTGGAAGGGGAAAGGAAACCACTTGAAGTGCAAGGCGGCTTTATCATATACTCGGAAACAATTGTGAGCTGTTAATGCGGAACTTCATATTATTATCAATCGACTGGTTCCCAGGGAAATCAGGTACTTCGCAGATTTTGTCTTTTGTCTGCGCTGATCATAAATATGATTCCCAAATAATAGAGAGAAAAAAGAGCCCTTGACCTACATGCCTACTTATTATCAACAAATCTGGCTCGTAAACCAACATTCGATTTTCAAGCACTTTTTTGGGAACACTTTTGAAGATAAATTGATTCGATTTCTTTAGGAATAGATACTTCTTAAAAAGGTAATCTGTTTATATTACATATGGTATATTAAGTATTTTATATTAAATAATGCAAGCTATAACATAAAATTCACGAACTATTCAAATGCATTGAACTACACCGAGATGTAATTCTCATTTTGCAACAGTGCATTTTTGTATATTGAGACTTTACATTTTACACTGGCGCCCCCACCCGAAGAGTGGCGTAAGTTTAAAAGCTGGTGGATTTCCTTGCTATGAACAATCCACACATGTAGAATGTATGTATGTAGAATAGAAAAATAGACTATGAAATGTAATTTTTATTTGTTTTTAAAATGCTGTTGCTGTGAAATAAAATTGACAATTACCTACATAACCTAACTAAAACATAACGAACATATTAACAAATGCATCATTGGCTTTCCTAAACCTAGGCTACGAAATCTTTGGCGCTTTCTCGGACACCATGGAACAAACACCGGACGGACGTGGATCAACAAATCTTACGCGCCCGAGGACCTTCTTCTTCATCACCCACAACAGCCGGGCCCCTGCGTTTCGCTAGATTAAGGTCACGCGCCTCCTCCATGGTGGTGGGGAGCACCTTGTCTGCCGTCTCCGGAAATGCCAGGGTAAGAACTCCGCTCATCAGAGCAAAGCTGGCAAAAAGAATTTGCGGAGCGTACACGTAATACTTGGCCTAGATAGAGTGAGGAATATGTCAGACTGGATAGATGGTGGATTCAACTGCTACAGATACTCACCAGAAGCGGAGTTTGGGGAGCCAGCATGGAGCCAATGCGACCCACCATGGAGCAAAGGGAAAGCAGACTGTTGCGCACATTGGTGGGGAAGATCTCGGAGGTAAAGAAGTACAAAATCTGGAAGCTGCAGGTGATGGCTAGCTTTCCAATAAGAAACAATGTGAGAGCACCAGCGTAGTTATCTGTGGAGCAGGAAGCGATGATTAACTGTCACATTTGTACCTACATTTATCGGTAGCTTACCTTGTGCAATGCCTGCGGAGGCGCCCATGCAGACCGCACAGAGGAGCATCGAGGCACAAAGCGAGTACCGACGGCCGATTCGATCCATTATGATCAATGGGAGAAGGAGGCCGGGGATCTGGATGAAGCCGTTCAGCATGAAGTTCGTGTACTTGTTGCCACCCAAGTTGACCGAGTTGAGGCTGAGTCCCAGGGCGATCAGAGTGTGGGTGAACCAGCAGAGGCAGCAGTTGAGAATGCGGAGCGAGAAGAATCGAACAGCTTTCATTATGGGGTACTGGCTCTCGTTGGCCTGACTCAGCTTCTGGCGATTGGTGGCCAGCAGCTCGTCCAGCTGCTCATCCGGCAGGGGCCGTTTGTTGATGCGCGCCGCACGTCTCAGCACAGCAGCTGCTCGCTCCTCCGACCCCTGGCTGAGCAGCCAGCGCACGCTCTCGGGCAGTATCCACAGGAACAGTATCTGCAGCACAGCAGGGGCATAGAGTACACGGAGTAGCAAGCGCCAGTGCTGGACCTGCGAGGCCAGGAAGCCGAGGAGAGCCTCACCCAGGGAGTAGAAAATTGTGATGATTGTGGCCGCAGCCACGCGACGCTTGGGTCCAACCAATTCAATGGCCAAAAGGAAGGCCGTGGGAAAGAGGGTGCTGCCCACGGCCATGTCGAGGAACTCGAAGGACAGGAACATGTAGTAGTTGGTCGACAGGGAGCGAATAACACCCATAAATGCACTCAGTGCGCCAGCAATGGCCAACATTGTTCGGCGTCCGTATCTGAAAAGGCAAATGAGGAAGGATCTGAAAGGAAGGATCCCATCAAACTTACCGATCTGCAAAGAAACCGCCTATTGGTATGCCCACAAACTGTCCAACATTGTTGATGGTGCCCACCATCGAGAGCATCCATTCATCTTTGCAAAATATATCAAACTAGTGCAGAGGAGAAGTTCAATTAAGTAACATAACTCTTATCCAACATAAAACATTCATACCTCCGTGGAAATGGTCTTCTCTTCATCCCTGAACTTGAAGTCATGGCCACAAGTCTCCGTCTCTCCGTTGAAGTACTTCGCATCACAGTACTCCCCCGATGGATCCGTGAAGGGAGCGTAAACCTCCTGCGTAACATTCGCCACATAGCGATGGCAGTCGTCCCAGGCGGAGCTTTTGTAGGGAACAGTAAAGTTCAGCCAGCTCTCCTCGTAGACGCTGGCGGGGCTATCGCATTGGGTGATGTTGCACCTGAAAACGAGGTTCAAATTATACAGGTTTTGTTTTCACTTTGATTTCACGCACCTGTGCACCACTGTGCTCGCGGTAAACACATATGAGATCGAAAAGAAGGCGTTGAAGAGCATGGGAACGCACAAGAGCACATAGTTGATGATTTGATAGCGTCCAAACTGGCCAATACGCACGAGAATGGCATCCAGTGAGTTATCTCCGTCGCTCGGCTCCGCATTTCCGTTGCTCGCAGCCGGAGAGGCGCCGTTTCCCTCCTTTTGATTTGGCATTCTATTTCGCTTGAAAGTGTTTCACGGCACGTGGTTGAATGCACTTTATAGTGTGGGTCTCCGTGCGACACGTGTTTTATAACTTTCGGTCTGGCTTTTGGAGACTATAGCCACTTTACGAGCAATATATTTTATTTATAGACATCGACACTGTGGAGCGTCTTGCTGCCACACACTGACTGATACTCGTATCGCTGTGCGCCCACCACATCAACCGATTGAGTTTGCTCTCCTCTCGGAGGTGCTCTCTCGGTATGGGTTGCTCTGTTTTGATTCTCCTCCAACTACAGCTACACCGCATGGCAGAGAGTCGTACTTTCTACTCTCCCTCTTGAATTGCTCTCACATTTATTACGTGTAATCTATCTGCTCTCCTCCACTGGCCTGGCGCTATCGCCGCTTGATCTGCTCCTATCTGGGTCTTATCGGTCCCACTCCGAAACTATTTGCTCTTCACAACTTTGTGTGAATAAAAAATTACACCCTAATCGCAACACCCGTTCAATTCTGAATGGGTTTAGCTGGATGTCAATCGGGCATTGTTTGTTCCATCAGACGGCTAGACATTCTGTCTGAGTAAGGGGGGAAACAGCTGTTCCTATCCGCTGGCCGATGGCTAGACTGGGTCAACAAGTTGTCTGGCTGCTTGCGATGACTGGTCCTGTCCCCAAGGACCGACAGTGTTTGGCTTCACACTTGATTTGTGTAACCCTAAGATGATTAGATGAGCAAATTGAATACGCAAATGACAGGAATGACTGACAATCAATTTGTTCACTTCCATTGCCCAGCGGAGACTGATAAATCAATGATAGCTGGCGATATCAACCCATTGAAAGCGCAATCAATGGGAAGGCTCGTGAATTATTGACGGTTTGTAATTGAAAATATGAGTACTCGTATTTGATAGAAGGAAGCGAGCCATAAATCGGCGATAAGTCGTGGAAACAACAGTCACTGCTGATAAGCTCCGTTGATTCAACAAATTCCCAAATGATTCTATTGGCAATTCGATCGTTAAGACTCACCATAAAAAACGTCTAAATACTGCCTGGCTTCTTGTTATATTTATAAATGTTTTATTGCCTTTGACTCTTTTTTGCAGATCGATCAGATCAGATTTCTCGTCTCACTGATCCGCCGAAAATTAATTTTTTAATTTTCGATTAGACGGCACTTTTTGTTGCCGGGGGCTTTGGCATGTTTCTGTCGAGGGAGCGTGCCTCCTCCAGCGTGGTGGGCAGGGCCTTGTTTGTGGTTTCCGGAAAGTACAGCGTGAGGCAGGCGCAGGCAAAGCCAAAAACGGCAAAGAGAAAGTGGGGAGAGTACTTGTAGTAGGGAATCTGCAAGAGGAAAGGGTCTTGAGCAGGAATAGCCGTGCGGGAGCGGGAAACCACTCACCAGCAGAGGAGTTTGGGGAGCCAGCATGGATCCAAAGCGACCAACCATCGAGCAGAAGGAGAGCAGACTGTTGCGGCAGCTCGTGGGGAAGATCTCAGAGGTGAAGAAGTACAAAATCACAAAGCTGCCCGTTGAAGTCATCTTGGCCATGAAATATAGCACTGAGGAGGTAACCGGGTAAACTGGGAAAAAAGAGTCAAAGAGTTAGACAGTAGTTAAAGTGAACAAGGCGGGGAAGAACTTACCCTCCTGCAGGGCAGGCACAGCCAGTAGAAAGATTGTGCAGCAGGCCATGCATGAGGTCAGGGCCCAGCGACGTCCAATGCGATGCATTATCATTGTGCCCAGAAGGGAGCCGGGCAGCTGGATGAACCCCATCATGCTGAAGTTCTCGAACTTGCTGCCCGAAAGCTCGCTGGAGTTCAGGCTCAACCCGAGGGCAATGAAGGTGTGGGTGAACCACACGAAGCAGCACTGGGCAATGCGCCAGCCCAGAGCATTAACAATCTGCCGCAGGCTGTAGTGCCCTCCTGCGGCCGTGGACTGAGCCACGAGCTTGCGGTTGGAGCGCATCAGCTCACTCAGCTGCTGCTCCGACAAGGCTTTTCGGTTTACCCGGGCCACTTTGCGCAGAATGTTCATGGCTTCCAGCTCCTTGGACTGGCTAAGCAGCCAGCGCACACTCTCCGGCAGCAGGCAGATAAAGATCAAGTGCAGCAGTGCCGGGGTGTATAGCACGCGAAGCAGCACCCGCCAATCCCTGATGTAGTCGGCCAGGTAGCCCAGGGCAGCCTCGGCCAGTCCATAGGTGAGGGTGATTGAAGTGGCAGCCAGCACGCGGTGCTTCGGGCCAACCAGCTCGAGGGCCATTAGGAAGGCGGTGGGAAAGAGAGTGCTGCCCACGGCCATGTCCAGGAACTCGAAGCCAAGGAAAATGTAATAGTTTGGGGCATGGGAGCGTGCCAGTCCGGCGAAAGCGCTGAGAATTCCACTTATGACGAGGAGGGTTTTGCGACCGTATCTAGAAGAGGGAGTATCTTCATGTTAGAAGGTTTCTACAATCGACTCGAAGTCACTTACCGATCTGCCAAATATCCTCCAAGGGGAATACCCACAAACTGTCCGATGTTATTGACTGTGCCCACCATCGAGAGCTTCCACTGATCGGCGCAAAAGATTCCAAACTGTCAAGGAAGAGAAAACAATGTAGGTTTAAGATCACATCATCACCCCAATACCCACCTCGCTGGCTATGGTACGTTCGTCTTGTGCCAGCTTGATGCCTGCCTCACAGCTGATCAAGCGACTCTGATTAAAATATCTTTCATTGCACGCTGCAGCTGCAGTTGCAGTGTCAATGTCAGAGCTGAATGCAAAGTGCTCACACTGAGCCCATGCGCCATGGCTGCTTGGGGTCGTAAAGTTTAGAAATGAAGCAGAGTAGCTGCTGTCCAAGCTGTCGCACTGGGTAATATTGCATCTGCGGATGATTTGTATGGGTTGATGGCTACTGACAGACTGTTCCTTTCACTCACCTGTGGTTCATAATACCGGCGGTGAATATGTACGAGATTGAGTAGAAGGCATTGCAAATGATGGGTAGGCAGAGTAGCAGATAGTTGGTGATCTGGAAGCGACCAAACTGTCCAATCTGAACGATAATCGTATCCAGTTGGCTGTCCTCCGTGTTGGATGTCGACTCTGGCTTTTCCCGGACCACGTCCAGCTCTGACTGCACTTTAAGCATGCTGCTGATAGCACCGTCTCGGAGTGACTGACTCGGCCACCCAGCCTCCACTTGGAATGCCGCACGCTCAACTCTCTTAATTGGCAAAATTATTCACGCCACCCGGGGGGCGTGGATCTTCCCCCAACGGTTTCCCTCTGCGTTTTTTCGCACGTTTCAATTACCTAGGCGTCGGGCCGGACAGGCACGCTTACAAAGAGCGCTGAAACCGGCGTGCAGAGCTTAATTGCTGGATTAAATAATACTTAGGACTGGCTGTAACCTGAGAGGCGTCTGCGATTTACTAGTAATCTGCGGCTGCCGCTGAGGCTGCAGCTATGGGTAGGTGATTAACCTTGCCGCCTTATCAAGACTTCAATGGAGCCATTGTAATGTAATTATGTTTTTATTGTTCAGATTCAATGCAAGAATTAAAAATATCACTTGATGTTGTTTTTCTTTTTGTTGGTGTGTTTGTGTGTGTTCGAATGTGCTTGTGTGTGTGGGGGTATATAGAGAGTGAGTGAGATAGCTAATATGTGTATAAATAGAGTAAAAATACCGACGTACATATGTACATAAGTATGTACGTACCAATTAGAGTATTAAAGCTTCGTTCAAAGGAAACTCGGGCCATAACATTACGTACAAATACAAATACAAGTGGATTTCCTTTGCAACTTAATCGTTACTCTCTAACCCTAACTGGTTTACTATGGCCAATACCCCGCATCAAAGCGGACTCCAGCGGAGTTTTCTGTACAACCTATCGTCCGAACTGCTCCGTAAATCATTGCTACAATAATTATCCAAATGTTGCGTTTGTGTCAAACAGAATGTGTCAATAAATAATGCGATCGTTATGGTGGTTTACGAGTCCTACAACTACAAATTACATATTAAGCATACATGTAGTAATAATGGGATGCATATGCATATATATATATGTATATATCTATAAATGGTGCCCTCTATACGTTCAATACATGAGATACAAACAACAACGTTTTTGTGTTGGTCTACCGCCTGCCCTGCTACATTAATATCAATCAATCTTATCATTTGCAATGTGATAATTCCGTTTGAAACTAGTTAAAATGGGACTACCGACTGTGACAAGCTGCTATTCCTTGGTGTTCAGCATACACATTACAGATTGTACATGGGATTGCTGGTGGCATCGAACAACTGAGTCCCCGTCGACTCGATCATGGACCTTAGGGCAATGCTTCGTTGTTTGGCCACTGCCTTGCGCAGTGTGAGTTCGAACACATTATCCTCGTCGATGTTGTCCATGGGCAGATGGTCCCTGCCCTCGGCAGACTCCTCCGGACCCTTGAAGACCAGCTCCTCGTGCTCATAGAGAACGCAGGTTTCAGCAAATTCCTTGGCAAAGTATTGCGATGTATTACGATTTTGAATAACCTCGCTGGGAAAGCACTGAAGCAGCTCCTCAAAGCTCAGCTCTGCCACCAGATTGTTAAGGATCTCTGCAAGTCAGGATGGTAAGAACGCGTTTCCTTAAACACAGACTACGTATGACATATGTACCTGTTATGTGCACTTTCCAGTTGGGCAAAGCATCTTGCTTGCTGAGAATTTTGCGCAATAAACTCTCCCAATGTTTGGGTGTGAAGCCGCAAGACTAAAATGAAATGTATTTTAAAATCTTCTTTTGCCAGAAACCTTACTTATTACTCACCTTTCCATACTGCCATAGATAGGCGGGACAGAAGCTCAGCATGTAGTTAATGGCCAGGTTCTTCGGCAATATGATCACCAAAAAGCTATCAATGCCCATCAAGTGCGGCGTCTTTTGAATGAAGGCCAAAAACTCCGATATAATCTCTCGATCCACTTTGCTGGAGGCCAGCAGACTTTGAATCTTCAGGGTCAGGGTCAGCAGCTCGTTGTGCCAGCTAACGAAGCGGACCTTGAACTCGCCCTCATCCTTGTTGGGATAGCTGAAGTCGCTGCGTTCAAAGGGCGGCAAGCGGTTCAGATACTGAGGACGCTCCAGCAGACAGGGAATGGGTCGTATATAGGATTTGATGTGGCGGTCGTATTCCTCGCCCTCAGGCAGTTTGTAGTCGGGAATAAATGGAACGTAGACCAACTTGCCGGCCAGGGG